TGAGTTTCCTTTAAAAGTGTTCGCTGCCGCAGCGTTTGGGGGTTTGGTAGTTATGGTCATTGGCTTCGTACTATACAAGGTTAGTATTTGCAAATGTTTCGTTGACCGTTAGATTCGCAGGGTGGGAGATGAGGCAAGAGAGTTATAACGAATTAGAATATACTGAAGTAGTGAATGCGTTGAAGGCGCGCTCTGACTGGCTATACTCAAATTCCGAATATCCTTTGCTATTCACCTCCGAGCGAAGCGCAGGATTTGCGCCCGAAAATATTGTACTTGTTGCAGGAATATGTAAGTTATAATCATCTTCGTGTGATATAATCTCACTGTTTTAGTTTATACTAAAACAAATATTCACCTCAGTGTCCGTGGCTAGCGATGGATTTCTATCCGGCTGCTTCACGGCTCGGTAAATATCCACAACTTAACTTTGGTTAATAGTTCTTAAGTAAATCAAGTCTTGTTTTTCTGTAGAGTGAGAGAGAGAGAGAGACAGAGAGAGAGAGAGAGAGAGAGAGAGAGAGAGAGAGAGAGAGAGAGAGAGAGAGAGAGAGAGAGAGAGAGAGAGGGGGGGGGGGAAGAGAGAGGGGGAGAGAGATGTAATTTTTAGTTGGTGCATCTCAACGCCAACAAATTTTGATTAAGGACGGACAAGTTACCTCAGACGGAAACGATCCAACTATGTATATGATGCAGCTTCGTCGCTTTCTTCCTAAATCTTACGTGAGCGTTGCAAGTATAGAATTTTTTCATAATCGGATCTATGAAGTCTATAAACATCAATATAGAACAGACAGAGAATGGTCTTTATTTTAGAGAGGAGTACTTTGGCTATGTAGTGATAACATTATGGAGAAGAACATGTTATTGAATGCAAATTTCTTCCATTCTTCTTAAATTACCAGAAAATCAGCCAAAAAAGAAGAGAGCGTGAGGGCTTTAAAAATACAAAGGATATATTTGCGTTGAACGACTTCAATTCACCAAATGATAATGAGGAGGAAGAAAGAGAGCTTGCCTCACAGAAAATGCGAATCAGTGTTTACGAAGACAAAGAGGAAGATGAGGACGAAATAACACCATTTTGCAAACCTGGCGTCAAGAGAATGAGTACTATGTGATATTAATTTAGCAATTAAGCAATTATAATTATTTAAGTAATTTGGAAGTCAAAATTTCCCTTCTTGTTTTCATCCAGTTAGCCAATGATGTCGCTTTGTAATCAGCTTTAGGTAAAAAAAAGCGCTTGCTTTTGATCTGTTAAATTGCAACCAATTAGGTGCAAGATTTTTCCGCGCTTAAGGATAATCAAATTTATTAGCCTTGCATTTTTTTGCGCTTTGGCTTTTTTTTAATAGGAAAAAACTGTCTTAGTGGAGCACAAGACCTGAGCATCCGACTGTTTTATTCGAAGGATACGGAAAAAAGGTTGCTTAGCAACTAAATACCATCGATGGAAGGAGTTCTTTATGACGAGTTAGGAAGTAATTGTTTTAAACGTTGTATAGAAGACAACATTTAATTTTTAACAGTAGGTGTCCTTTTTAAAGGTAGTTTTAGACAAGATGAAAATTTTTAAGCATAACTTAAGTTTCATTTGGAAGGAAGTCGTTGGAGTCTATTATAGTTTTGATTTGTTGCTTATTTCTAGTTTTTTATTGTTAATTAGTTGCACCAAGAGTGGACAGACTACGTTCACTGAGGGTGATCGGGTTTTCCTCATTCAGTAGAAGCTACATATAAAAATTTTAGGGAGCCAAGAATGCAGCCTCGTAGAAGCATAACAGCGTTGGGTAGACTTGAAAAAAAATTATGCATAATAAAGAAGACATCAAACTGGAGTTCCTTTTCCTAGTTGTTAGATTTTAAGAAAATCAACGTAAAGTACAGCTCAACGTGAGCTTGTTAGTTGTTTTGCAGGGGGAAGCGCACATTGTGTCGTAAACGGTGAAGTGCAAGTCCTTTTTTAAACTAAACTAATCCCTTGCTTTGGTTGTGTACGTTTGAATTGAGAGAGGGGCGTATCTCAGACTCCTATGACATTCGCGCCCTCCTTACTCTCACTTAAAAAGGTCTAGCTACACCCTCGGTAACAAATTCACTTTGTGCCGTTTCGTTTATACAATATAGCGAGTAAAGCCTGCGGAATCTGTGTCGAGGTACCAAAGGGGTTGTCCTTTTGGCCAAGAGAGGGCTGTAGGTATTCTATCATGGCTCTCGATCAGTAATTTGCTTTGACTCACATATACTTACAAAATGCATCTGACATCTGTCATGTCTGGCCCTCTACAGAGAAGAGCGACCTTCATTAGGTGACTTCATCCATCATGTGTATCTGAACTAATTTGCTGCTTCTATATTTCAAACATCTCTAACCTAAACTGTTAGAATATCTTTGGAGAACATTAGTACTAAGATCATAGCTGGAATTTTTCCGAATGAGGCTGTTACTACTGCTTTAGCTTGTTTATCAGGGGGTTCGTATTCACGTGGTGCAAAGAACTGGTCATATCCAACCAATAAATCAATATCCAGCAGATAAAACACTATCTAGCAGATAATTTTTGACAAATTGTAGTGGGTTACCCACTGGATCAAGATTCCATTTGAGTGAGGATAACAACTTGTCTTTTAAAACAAATCTGTTGTCAATTATATGAAATTTTTTTTGTTCCGTACACCCTTTTGTCACGATAAAGAGTGGAATTTAAGGATCAGAGCCAAATCTATTATCAAAGCTCTGTTATGTGGAATGAAAGCATTGCAGATTTGCATTGCTATTAGGAATGCAAAGCAGTTGTACTGAATTGCCTTTAAAAATATGATCCAGTTGATAATGTTATCCATCCATTAAACAACTGAGGCCTGAATTATAAGGTTTGCGTATTCTTGATTCAAAATAATGGGTGGGGAGGGGGGGTATGGGCACCAGGACCCCCCCTTAGTTTGCCCCTTAGCACACACCATTCATCTTCTGCTCGGCAAACTTGGTACCGGGTAATCAGGCTCCCAGTTTAAACAGCAAACTCAACAAAACCTTGCTACTTTATCGGATCTTATAGATCCATCACTTTTTAATGGCTATATTCTGTAACACCTTACCATCACCCTTTCACACTTGCTTTACTTTTTGCATCAAATGGACACTCTTTAAGATACCTGCAGACTCTTACAGCTTTCTTTTTTACATGAATTCACTCATGAAACTTGGATATAATATAGAAATGAATACTTACAGTCCTTTAATAGCCATTAAGTGTGGTCTCCACACAAGATTTCCCTAAGAGAGGTTTAAACATTAAGTTAAGAGGACTTAAAAAAATATTGAGCTTAAAAAATTAACTCCTAACTATGTAAATATCTCAAAAAGGCAGTTTAATGGAAGTTTCTTGCTAACTGGTGAACACAAAATAGATCTTAAAATGGTGTACTGCTTCATGTTTGACATGTAGGCATTCTATTCATTACTGCACTAACTAAAGATAAATAAGAATCATTCAAGGCTTATATGACGCTACATGCCATTGATGTTGCTGACAGAAATTTATTACATTACTGATATTATAATGATTTGAGAAAAACAGGCCAGTCTTGTAGTAAATTTACAGGAAAAAAGCCACACAAAATCTAAGAAATAGTAATGCGGTTCTTATCACAAAAATCAGTGTATTCTGTAACTTTTCCTGATATTTTCAAGGTTTGAATTTAATTTTAAAACTATCAAGAATGCCATATTGGCAACCAAGATACAACTTTTAAGGACTTGTAAGGAATGCTTTTGAAAAGTTGGCCCCTGATCAGAGTCATTGTTTTCTTGAGCAAGACACCTTATTCTGACAGTGACTCTTTCCATCTAAAATTAAAAAGCAGAACCAACAAATTGTCAGAACCAACTCATGACATGAAACACTGGGGTACATGAACTGTTATGGACTAGCTTCCCATCCAAGTGCAGGATGGGAATCAGGAAACAGAAATGGAAAAGTTGTGTCATCTGGGGTGAGTGGTCTACTCTTGCATATGTAAGAGTGTGTCGCACTAACATGAATACTATATACATTTATAGCTACTACATGACTCAACACATAGTTATAATTCTAATATTAATTAAAATTTATACTAACAGTAAACAAATACCATAATTCATTATCATTCTTATTATCACGTTCCTGCCAACTTTTTTAATGTCTAAAATGCATGAGGTTTCTTTTGGGATATGAGTTAATGTCTGGGGACATGAATGCGTGAATGCATGCTCCTATATTATTATTGATTCAGTTTAATCCAAAGAAGTCAGTTGACTGTGGGTTGATGTAGGGGCGTATAGGAGAATGAATTCCACCCCAGTGATCCATCTCATGTGAACGCTGATTGTAGATCACAAGTTGCTTCGAATCCAAATCAAGGTAAAACAAGAACAAATCCCCGCACTGCCAGTTGCTGATTGTGCTGACAATTGCTGAGGAATTTGGGTAGTACTTCATACCATTACTCCAGCGCCAAGTACGATGACCATCAGTGACACCCACTTCAAAGACATGGTGGTCAGAAGATCTTTTGAGCTTGTCAGGTGTAAGAATTCGCACTTGCCAGGAATGGCAACCTCGTTTGAACCAATACCCTGTCAAGGACTCCTTGTCCTGGTCATATACTTCTGGCGGGAGAGTAGCACATGTTGAATCAAGAATGTAGAATGAAGATTCCACCTTCCACTTGACTGGTTCATTGGTGATGCAATGCCCGGCCACATACACGTGTATAGTGTGGGTTCCCATCACACTAGGGTGGTAAGAGAAGGTGTGGTGTTCAGCTTTACTCCCCATGATGGCATTTTGTAACTCACCATCTCCTGGTGGTTTTATGTTCACCTTCACCTGATTTACTCCAACTTTGCAGTTCCTTCCTTGGCTGTCTTTGAGAGAAACAATGAAGTAGGCACTCTGATGACATCTGGAAGAAAACACCTGTCCATTCTTTCCTCCCAGCATGCTGAGAAAATACTGATCATGCTGTTGACTATCTTCATCCCTAACACAAGCCATCTTGTCAACAATGAGGTCAACCACCAAGGATTTATCCACATCTATGCCAAAATTACTGGTGCGACATGGCTCCCCTTGCAAAGCAACTTCTTTGAAATCAGGTAGACCAGACAATTTGCTCCTGCTGGTTAGCAACTCCAAGTCAGACATTTGACACAGTGCATGTCCAGTGCATTCTACTTTATTATGGATTTCCTCAAAAGCAAGACTCATTGTCTTCTCTTGATTCAGAAGCTGTTGGACTTTCTCATCACGCAACACAGCAATATCTCTTTTCAACTGTGCTCGTTTACGTTCCAAGGCTGCTATATTTTCATCAATAAGATGATCAACCTCCCTTTCTGACTCCAAAGCCCTTACCTCTACTTGCTTCTTCACTTCTGACACCAAGAGAATTGATCTTTGAAGACCAGATAATTTCTGCTTTGCATCTTCAAGGCCTTGTTGGATTGCTTCCCTTTCCTTAGCACTTGCATTTCGAATGGACATGTACTTATGGTTTCTGTGACCTTCCCTAACAACACAGTTTCTACAGACTACATCATTACAGGTTTGACACAAGAACTTGGCAAGCTCTGCAGGATGATCCTTACAAGAAGGCTCACTTCCTGAAGCCATATGGTTACCCTCTTGTAACAGGTTATTGTTTTTATGAGAGTATTAAGTCCTCTCAGATTTACCAGTCAGTGATTTGTTTTAGTACCAATACCTGCCAAGACAAAACAAAATAAAATATATTGGTTACTAGTAAATTTCTGGCACATGCAAAGCTTCAAATAAAGGTCTTAGAAAAAATCTACTTAGCGGGTGATTACAATTTTACCTCTTAACCCTTGGCACCCTAACATCAGCATGCACATTCTCCCTACTGTTCTCGGAACAATTCCTAACATGCTGATGAGGAAAATTTGTCTAACAATCAAGAGCTTTTTTGGTTGCAGATCATTTCTTTGATTCCTGTGACCTTAACCCTTTAACTCCCAAGACTTTATTGTTAATTTTCCCCTCTAGCTCCTCACATTTCCATGTAAATTTATCACCAGAATTTGGTGTTACATCAAAATAATAACTTCTTCCTGATAAGTTTGAATATTCTCATGACCTGTTTGCTGGATAATGTAAGAATATTACTAGAAGAAGTCTCATGTTGATCACTTCTGGGAGTTAAAGAGTTAATGTTTGATTCAGGGGTGATATTGTAAGGTGAAATTAGAGGCTGGTCACTTTTAGAGTTTAAAGGGTTAATGGCAGTGAACCAGTGGGCCCACATTCTAAGAGGACTTTCAAAAGACATCTACAGGAGCCTTATGCATGTTAATAATAACTTTTTAAGACGAATTCTGATATATATTTTTGACAAAATAATTATAACTACTAAAACAGATTTAATATTAAAAGCTGGGAATTGATATATTTTTTGCTGCTCTTTAGAACTGAGTTAAAGAGATGGAATTGTTCGATTTTCCTTCAAGATATCAACTGAGGCGCAGATTTTTGTTTGTGTAGGTGAAAGCGTGAAAATCATAGGAACATGTACAATGTTGAATGTTGCCTAACAGAACTTGGAAAATATTGCTTAATATCTTGTTTTCAAAGCGTGAATTGCACCGATTATAATATAAATGATATACTTTGGTTGATCCTGGTTCATCAAAGCACTATTTATGGAAAAAAAACCCAATAAACTTATTCGAGCGTACACGTAAAATAATTTGAAAACAATATGGCCGAATCAGACTAACTTGATGTTGATCGTTTCTTTATCGGAAACAATAAAAGTACTGATACAGGTAATTTTAAATTCTGCAGATCGCCCCAAGATGAGGGTTGACGAAAAAGTTATGTCGTCTTCAAAAGATGAAGATTAACCCAGAGGGGACACATGCTGAGCCAAACGATTAAATTGTGGGATTGTTGGGGGTGTGTTCAGCCATTGTAAGAAAAACACCAATAGACGGTCCGGAAGGTGGAGTTGAAAATCTGTTCGTTTTGGCAACTGTAAGTCGTCTGTCTTTTGGCCTTGAAAACTACTTATAGGCATGTCGAAAAACAATGATAAAAGAAAGATATGATTGTAAGAAACTGCCCAGAAACAGAGCTTTAGCACCTTAGAGGAAATCTGGAATCGTCACGAAAACTAAAATATTCAAATGAGATAAGGTAGATGATGTAATGTCGCAAGTTGGACTGCAGAATTTCCTTCAACCAGCTGAACTTTGTACATAATCAGACAATCAAAGTTCAATGAAAGTATCACTTTTCAAATTTTGGAAACTGAAAATCGCTCGCTTCACAATAACACTTAGAAACATAAAATATGCACTAAAAAAGTATGCAAATCACTTTATGCCGTAAACACATACATTATAATTATTCTTCTGGCACTTTTACCGTCTGGTAGATTGTTTGTTCACAAAAAGCAAGTTCCAGCTTACAACTCTCCAAAAATCTTATTAAATTTGTCCTTATTAGTCTCTGGCGCCGTGGAAAATAGCTAATGTTCGAGCGGCCATATCATCGAAACCGAAAGTAATCGTAGAAATTCACAATACAGCCCTCCAGGCCTAAGCATTACGCAGACAAACTTCAACTGACAATTTTAAAGTCAGGAACACAGCTAAGTATTTAGGAAAATCGGTGACAGAGACATTAAACTTACCATATATCTGGTGTGGATGAAATCACGTTTCCCTGATGCGCGCACACAAGTCAACATCAGCAGCTGTAAGGAATTACTTCATGATATTTATTGATCTTTCTGTTAGCGTAAGGGGACTGGGATTGAGTGGCAGCTTTAGAAAAACATTTGCTCCTTTAACATGAAAGCCTCTAACGAAATCCTATCAGAAGGATATTTCTTCGGCAATTTTATCGAGAAATTTGTGGGGATTTAAAAAAAAAGGGGAACGTTGTCCAAAAAAAGGAGTAAAATGAAATTAAATAAACGAAAGCAAGACTATCTGCGGAAACATTGAGAGCGAGAAGAGCTGTAACCGAAAGCAGCCAGATGATTGCCTAATAAAGTGAGGTACAACGGCACTGATCATAAATTTTAGATAATAAATCGGAAATCCGCACTTCAGTCGTTCTTATTAAGCTCCTGGTTATATACATTCATATTACTACAGCTTCTGTTAACAAAAACTACGTAGCCTTAATTCAAGGAATGGCTTCAACGAAACTTGTTTTAAAAGCTGTTCCCGTAACTCCATGTCTGGCTTCAGCTAAACTGACGTACACAGCATGCAACGATACAGAATTAATTGATGACAGAACAAAAACGAAAATACAGCTCTGCAAATACGAAGCACTTCATCAAAAATCTCGAACTTCACTCTTACTCTTTAAAACATGAATAATAGTGATTTATCATAAGGAAGTAGCGTTTGTTATGAAATCTTGAAATTTTTCTTCACTGCATTTGGTTAACCGTGGGGGATTGTGCTGTTCAAAAGCTTTGAAATATGGCTACGTTTCGCTATGAATGCGATAGGCACTTTCAGTGGTTCTCAGAATACGTACAAGTGTACAAACATCATAAACCAGGAAACTAAAAATTTACCTCCAAATTAAAGCGTTTAAATAAGTGTGCAAACATTATGATGAATCAGCAAACTAAAAATTTACCTCCAAATTGCAGCGGAATCTAAGTTCTCCTTTCCTTATCTATGTGTTTTTTAACTGGCAGACATCAAACAAAATCAGCGGTTTCACATTATCATGATACAAGTTGTCATATCATGGTTTGAGGGCAATTGAGGAACAGTCGACAGTTAATAAGTTCAACCTTCAGACCAGCGACGCGGTACACCGAGTATGTTAATTGTCCCGCTTTTCCAGACGCTTTCTTTGTGGTATTGTAAACACTGCGTAATCTATTTTTAATGACTTTTTCGACGAAGCTGACAGTGGGAACTTGCCTATTAAATTTCAATTCTTTTTTGGATGTCGAGCTCCGCTGAGTTAATTAGAAAATAAAATAAAAAGTTGCTGATGCCACACAATGTTTAAGGATTTTACGCGCTGTAAAATGTTCATATGCGAAAACATATCGTTGCTAGAGCGATTCTTTTAATAAATGATCGTCTGTCAGTGATCGTATGGGTGAGAGTAGTCCGAGAGAAGACTTTTTCCACGGCCTTATGTCTGGGTGGAGGGGTGGGGTACGTACTGGATTAATCTTTGCTGGATATCTGCCGCTGGTCTCTCACCACCCCTCCCCCCAATTATAAGTATAATCTATTCCTTTGGCCAATTATAGACCCCATCTTAGTCAATTTTGGTAATTTGGTAACAACTCCATAACGGTGGATCTTTCCATTTTTAAACCCCACTTACCAGAATTTTTTTAATTAACCTCAAAACCCCGAAAATTTGCCACCTCTTTCTAAAATGCGACTCCACTATAGTACACCAAGTCTTAAGAATGCGACCCCATCCAGCGGGACATTCCTAGTGGACGATAACTAGGGGAGTACCCGCTGGGGTTTTAGGGGCAACTTGACCTGAGAAGTCGAGAGCCTTCTCGATGTGCCTAATGACAGTATGTGTCTGAGCCTGTCTGAGGTCATCTACACAAAACTGACCCATCCGAATTAAGGAAATACGCAATCTATTCTCTTTTTGTCACCATTACTTCATTTTTTTCTGAGCAATGATTGGCAGAACTGAACTTATTTATCACTATAGTTTATTTCCAACTCGCCATACAAATGATAAGAACTAGAAGAGAAGGCCTGGGAAGGAGTAAGTTAAAAATACTTTGCCTTTACATGACGTACTAACTTGAGCAGACATCTTCGAAGATTAACTGGAAGATAAGGAAAGGAAATTATTAATAGTTGGAATTGACCTCTTTCTAGAACCGAATTTTGGTGCTACTTGTATTGAGAAGTATTTAAGCTTCGACTGGTGGAGCAGGTTTTGATATGGACGCCGACAAATACACGAACGACGTAAGTACAACTTAATACTTGCACGTGCCAATGTCAACTGCAAAAGCATGCTTTCCATACATTCGGACTGTCTTTCTTTTTATAATAGAATTACCCCAAAAACGTCAAATGTCGAATACAATAAAGAATAGCCGTAGCACAATACACAGGATACGAGAAAAGTTCGAATTGCAAATTGTAATTTTTCTGGTCTTTGAGTGGGTAACACGCTTGAAATGCATTTTCTTCAAGGAATATTCTACTTGTTCATGTGTATTTATTACCATGCTCTATCCATATAAGATGTAAGATAGCTTCCCAGAGCTGGTAAAATTTCCGCACAGCCCCATACTACATTATGCATTCAGTTCTTGGATTGAGAAAACAATGACAAAAACAATAGTTTGCCATTGGGAAAACAGATTTGTTTTACAATAGTATGGGGCTGTGCGGAAATTTTACCCCAGAGCTCTCAGGCAGCGATTCATACACATAATTATGAAGATCAAACCCAGTTATTGAATGATTTTAATCATCCAGTGATTAACTGAAAATTGAATTAATGAACTTAATTATCAAGAAATAATCACGATTTAACCTTCTCACTTCCAAGGCCTATTTGTTACAATGTTAATTTGGAGAATTTGGTATTGGATCAATTCATAATCCCCTTATTGATTGATAGTTTTCTTTATTCTCATTTCTTGTCTGCATAATATTGTATTAATATTGTAAGGAGATATTCTGTCTTAGTTGCTCATGAGAGGTAAAGGTTTAATTGTGTCTTGTATGTCAAACATATACCTCAACACTTTGTCAGAGTATTTATCTACTTGGTACTGATAAACATGATATTTGGATGACCTGCATACAGTTTTCATTACCTCTGATAATCAATATCCATTTAATGGATGAGAATGTTGTGACCTCTTAATAGTTCTATACTCATAAAATCCTTAATCATTCTCACTCTAAACCTGCAGTTATTTAGTTCATTAAGTAATCACTGGATGGATCATATTGTGTTCAACAAACCCCAGGAAATGGAATTTTTCACCTTATAATTTGTCGTTTTTTTTGTAAGCTTAAATATATTTGTAAGTTGCTAACAAGGAGAATTTCCTAAACAATAAATGGCTTCTTTGGCTGGTGGACCATTTTTCTCTTTTTTTCAGTAGGCCATTTTACAGTTGTGTACTTGGTTGCTAAGCCTTTGATTTAGAGTGAAGCTGAAGGTGACCTTGTTGTGATAGAGACCAGTATTTAGTGAGCATGATAACAAAGCAATTTACATTTGAAAAGCAGCAACATTTGTAACATAACAAGGTCACCTTCAGCCTCACTCCTGTTTAAAGGCTTGGCAACAAAGTATGCAACTGTAAAGTGGACTGTTAAGACAACCATCATAATATTTTATGGGAAGTCTTATTTTAAAGTTCTCTTGCAGGCTCAAACAGAGATGCTCTGGGCCATTAAGGCTCATCACCATGCTGAAACATACTTCAAGGTGAATGGTTTTACAGTTTAGGAAGTTTGTTTAAGTGTCAGTTTTTAGTTAAACAGCCACTTAGTCATGTATTGTACCTTTTCAAAGGATAGTTAAAGTTAACATGGTGATTTTTTTATCAAATTAAATTCAAATATTGGGTTTATTTATTTATTTTCTGTCAAAGAATGCTTTCATATTTTGGTATCAGTAGCCTGGTCATGTGGGATAAAGGAGATTTCTAACACTATAAAATCAACCCTAAAAACAATAGAAAATGATGAATGAGTTTAATAAAAGTCCCTCTCAGGACTTAATGCACCCTCACATGGGTGATCAGATTTCAGAATCAAATGTTACTCCCAAACCCCAAACCATTTACTGTAGAATTACTGTAGAATTAAGATTATAGTGAGCAAATTTCATGCTTCTATTATCATAAAAACAGAAAATTTACTTTCATTCTGTGAATTTTTCTGGTTTCATTGTTACTTTTGGATAGGGACAGGCATTCACTCATGGTCAGTCATGAAGTAATTTTGTCAGAAACTATTTCCCCTTGTCTGTAAGATTTATTCTGGAGTTAAAATAAAATGGGCGTAAAATAGAAAGTGCTATGATGAGCGCAATTTTCTCTAGTTCTGATAGTAACTTTCTAGTAATTTTTGTGTGTTGTTTCAGCTCATTTCCCAAGTAGATGCCTCAAGACTTCGTTTAACAAAGTAAGTTGATTACGGCTGAAAAAATGTAGACATTTCAGAAAGGATGATCAGTTGTATTTCATCTGCAGGTTAATATGATTTATTTCATATCACAGAAATAAGTTTCTTTTGTAGAAGCAATGTACCTAGTACTTAACTTGCCTCTCTCCTAATTTTGTCTTTGTTACTCAGTTGGTAGTAGCACCTAACTATTATCTGGAAGGCACAGGTTCCAATACCATCAAAGCCTGAATTTTTGCAAGCTTCTTTTCGGCAATTTCTTTGATTGCAGGACACTTGCGAGAATCAGTTCTGTTATAAACCATTTTCAAAACCAAGCATGTTACGCATTGTTTTGAATATGAACTTGAATATGGAGAAAAAATTATTATCTATGAAAACTTTTTTCTTTTATTCAAGCTCACATTAAACAAGACTCAAGAGCTGATAGAATGTCACATATATTTACCATAAACTGCTGCCCATAAGCCCCCCAGAAACAGAAAATTTGAAAAATTATTGCAGAACAACCAATTTATTACTTTTTTTAATTATCACAGATGAATATCAAGGGAAAATTCTGAACTTCTGTTTTCTTATGTTCCAGTTTCTGTTTGTGTTGTTACTTAATTTATTTCTGTTCAAAATGTATGTCAATGAATTTTATTTATAATAATTTTTTGATGCTTGATTAAACACCTGCAAAAGCAAAACCTTTTTTCTATCAGTACTTTCTCAATTTCAGTGTTAAGCCCCTTAACATTTAAGTCTCTCAGTTTCTAAGCCAACCTAAAACCCTTCACAAAGTTTCAGGGCTTGTAAGCAGCAGTTCAATGTAGCCTACTTTGTACAAAAATGCAATTTCTCTCAGCTACTGGTTTTTGAGAGAGGATCAGGATCAAATACAGTTAAGCAGTAAATATGGCTTTAAATAAGCAAGGAAGTATTAAACATATTTGATAGAGCATGCTCCATACATGTACTACTACATCTACAAAGCTGTCTTTTCCCCTTTTGATTTTACCAACCAACTGGGGTCTTGTTGCAGGTATGATGACGACATATACAGGCAGTTTAAACGCTATTTCAAGATGCTTAAGGTACAGTACTCTAAGTTAACAAATTGATTACATTGTGTAGATGTTGGGTTATGGGGATTCCTTGGGTATTACAATGTTCCTGTTGGCAATAGGAGACAATAGATGCAGACAAGGAATAGGTCTTGCGCATTACTGTTATGGGAGTGTTACACAGACTATTGGCAAGCACCCACCACACAGGCTTCATATCAACTAACCTTCATATTGTGTAGTTGGGAAATATTGTTTTAGTTTACTTTCCAAGTTCAGTGTGAATCTAGTAGTTTATCCATTATGTTTTATGTGATATGTAAACAATGAACAACCCACCTTATCTTTCTCTCCTAGATATAGGATGAGTTAAATACTCTTTAGGATCATAGTTAGGTTAAGTAATGTCCTCAAAAGGCAAAATCCATGATGAAACCAGAGGTCCTATGGTTTAGGTTGGGAGCTCTCTCTGACTGACTATATACTACTATTTTATGTGTGTGTTTGTACACTGTGACTGGATATGTAGATGGAAAGTGTCCATTGGTTATTCAGTTCAAAGTAATTCAAAAAGTATTAACCTTTTAACTCCCAAGATCTGATTGTTAATTCTCCCCTCTAGCTGCTACATATTTCCATTTAAATTAGTTGTAAGAATTTGGTGTTCAATCAAGGTAACATCTTGTACCTGATGAGTTTGAGTATTCTCACTACTTGTTTGCTGGATAATGTATGGATATTATAGGAAGAAGTTACCTGTTAATCACTTCAGGGAGTTAAATGGTTAATTTTTATGCATGGTCAGGTGTGAGATATCTAAGAAAACCATAAAAGAAGAAATCTGTTGGGTTTTGTTATCATTCACCTTCACTAACTGTGTTTTGAATTGGAAAAAGGGAAATGGAAATTAAACTGTCATGTATTTCATTATGCAAGCAATTTAGAATTATTGTGAAGAAGCTATTTTATTACCATTACAAAATAGGCCGGAACTGATCTTTTTATCATTATCTGATGATTAATGGTGATACCCTTTAAAACTTAAAAATTGTCGAAAGTTAAATGTCTACATATCATATGAATGCAGTATTTAGCAAATATGTGGTGAGAAATGACAAATTTATCATATGGAGGTTGTCATCTGCCATACCACCAATTTCCTATGGCTAATTTACAATGCAATGTATGGAAGTTATAAGGGAGAATATCTTGTTAGATCAAGGGAGTCAAAAGGTTGACTTTACACATTGTCTTACTGTGGTTAGGTGGATGTGATCAAAATAGATGACCTGAAATCTGAAGCAGCCAAAGTGGTAGGTGTACTAATTTTGTCTCTGCTGAGAGATAATTACACTTTATCCTGTTTATTACCCATTTCTCTCTATGAAGCATAATTCAGTGAGAGTATGGATGAAATGACACCCCAAAACTTCATTCTTCATTGTAAGGTTTTTGTCTCAAGTGATAGAATTAAATTGATGTTGTGTTATAAGGAAAAGTTTTTTTACAGGCTTACTTGTATGTGAGTTGATCAAACAATCTAACTGTGTATCCAGTGGTGATGTTAGTTTCTTTGATTGATCAGATAGACAAAAGCCTCCACTCAGTAGATAGGTAGATTTACTCTCTGCTGAAGTGTTTTCGTCCCTCTTGTAAACAATGGTCAGGTAGGTTAGGTCTGTACTCAAGTAAAGTAGCCCATCTAATTGAAGCTTATTCCAGTTTTCACAGCATGAAGTGCAACTACAGTATTGTGCAAAAGTTATGCAAATGCCTGTCAAGGAATTTCAATGAAATTGTTCCTTTTTGACAAATTTTGGACCAAAACAAAATTTGTGCCACATTTGGCAAATTTTTGAGGCAGCTGTTGTTTGAATTCATCTGAAATTTTGCAGATCAATTCACTGGAAATGTTAATGAATCTTGAAATTTTTAGGGAAAGTTTCTTCCAAGGAGTATTACACCCCCCTTCCCCTGGATTGGATGCTAGTCTATTGAAAGGTTACCCCCCAGCATTTGATCAGGCTTTCCTGAAAATTTACCAGTACCCATTTATACTCCTGGGTCAAGAGAGGCATTGTGAAAGTAACCTGTTTTGCCTAAGAACCTAACATAATGACCTGGCCAGGTTTTGAACCCAGACATCTTGACATCTTGACATCCACCACACTTGCATGTGCGACTAGGCCACAGTGTCTCCACTTTTAACCCTTTGACCCTTAAGAGTGACCCGCATCTAATTTCTCCTTACAATATCACCCCTGAATCACACATTAAGGTCATGAGAATAAAGAAGGTGATCACTAACCAAAGACTCTCTTGATTGTTAAACTCATTCTCCGTGTCAGCGCCTTTGGAATTGTACAGAGAACAGTATGGAGAAAGTGCATACTGATGTAAGGGTGTAAAGGGTAAAAACATTAGGGTATGCTCATGTGAATGTTATTCTTTAGCATGCTATCAGTACCTCAAACTATTATTTCACTTACATTTCTACTAAATGGTATTTCAATTTTTAAGTCTTCAAAATATAAAAACTATTAAACACATTATTTGAACATTAATATTTATGTATAATTACTTCATGAAAATTATTAGGTATTATTAAATATGTGACTATTAATCCTTTGCACTTTTATCGTCTTTTTCAGAAGTGGAGGCCATTTTGTAACATGTATGAAGGAAAGATTGATGATTTCAATTTTGCAACATTGTTGAGGTAAAATATTTTTCAGCTACAGTTTTTTCAGTAGAAATGTGGGCACAAATTTCATTATATTTCTATTTTTCTCCTTAGAATTGACTGTGCTAAAGGTTATGAAGAAGAAAACACTATCTTAGGTAAGACAACACTCAACCAGTAGGAGGATAGTGAAGGAAATGGAAATATTTGCTACAAACCTGCTAAATCCTTTAAGTCCCAAGATCAAATAAGTTATTCTCCCAACTGCCTGCCTTACATTTCCTGGTAGATTAGACAGGAGAATTCAATTCATCTAGTAGATAACACCCTGTAGCTGATAAGCTTGTCTGTTCTCATAACTTTGTTGCAAGATAACATATTGGAATTGCAATGAGTAGCTGCAAGTTAATCACTGGTGGGAGGTACATTCATTTTGTGGTATTTTTAAGTTGTCTTTTCCTAGATTTTCAACTTCATAGCTTTTTGTATGGCAGAAAATGTAAAAAAGTTAAAAGAACCTTTAAGATATTTACACTTAGTTCAGCACTTTCTGAAGGTACTTTTTTATCATGGTGGTCATGAATCAAAAGTGATGAAGTTTTCATTTAACTCGCTTGAATGTGATGTTCAATTACTACAAGCACTCACAATTTCATTGCACATACTGTGGAATAAAGAAAAATTATCAAAATATTACAAAATTCTGTTCAAAAAAATGGATGGAAAATTGAAGGTTAGGGTCAGGATATCATTCGTAGGTTTTTAATTTATAATTTTTTTAAATTTGCATTATCTGTTTTCTCAGCACTGTAATGTTTTCCACATTTTGAAGCCCAACGGTTATTTTATTCACTTTCCCGCTCATAGTTACAAGGATCCAGTTCTACGCAATTGAGATTGCACGAAATAGACGGGGTCTGAACAAGCCTCTATTGGAGAAGTCTTCTGATGCTCAACCCAGTGCACAGGAAAGCCAAGGAAGATAACATCACCTTGTAAAACATAGTGTATTGGTTCAGAGCATGTTACTCTTGGTGTAATGTATATGATATAGTAGGCTGGGGGTCACATCATTCAGTTTTTATTTGCCAAATTGGTTGCCATGAAACATTACAGCTGTGGTTACTCTAAGGTAGCGCAGTTGTTGTTGTACATTGATAATCATTTAATGGATATGAGTATGAGCGCTGGAATCAAAATTTTAACTAACAGACCCTCCTAAAAAATATTCCTGAAAATTAAAACTAGGTAACATTGAACTTCAAGTTAGCTAAATAAGAATCCTAAGTATGTGATAAATTTTCCTTCCATTTTATTGGCTAGGAGCCCGCCAGTAAGAACTTGTTAATAACTGCTCACAGATACTGGCCTGCTCATGCGTAAAGCTGTATGTTCTGCTCATGCGTAGTTGTGTCCACGTTCCTCTGGTCGCTTCCTGAGATTTCAGAGGGTGATTTGCTCAAAATTATTAAGAAAAGACAAACTTGGGGATAGAGTGATTAAAAAATTATTGAATTTAGGTATTGCAAATGTTGCGATTGGTGTGTGTCTTGCGATTAATTTTGTCATCCTTCGATTTGGCGAAATATTCGTCTGCTCGCTGCTTACATATCCTACTTCTCAACGTCATCGAAGAAATTTTCATTGTTTGGGCATCCATCCAAAATTTGAATCTGCTTCTTGGTACCTAGAAATCCAAGAGCATTGGCCATAGATCAAAGGTGTGTCTCTTCAAAATCAATATGCTAAGCACCCTCTTAGTGGATCAGAAGCCTAGAAGATGACGAAGACCATCAGCCACAAGCTGGACGTCTTCCAGAACAGATCCCTGCGGAGAACTCTCCGCATATTTTTGGCCTAACACCATCTCCAACAATGAACTGCACAGAAGAACGGGCAGAGAACTCATCACCCAGCCGAGAGGAAGATGGAGACTAATCGGCTACGCGCACCGAATACTTTTGTTATTCCTACCTAACGTCGCCCTCCGATGGACGGCCGACGAAAGAGAGACTTTCCCAAGGAAACTTGGAGAAGACGCATAGAAAGGGAAATGAGTGACAGAGGCTGGACACGGAGGCAGCTTGACTAAGTGACAACCGACAGAAATCAATGGCTTTTTCTGACCGAGGCCTTAGGTGCATAGACCTACGAAGAGGACTTACCAATGTGGTTTTTCAGACGTAGAAAAAATTAATGCTAATGAATTAAAACACACACATATATTTGAATTATCAGCTATGTATACTTTGCCACCAGTCATACAATTGTCCCTTGGCGGGAACATTTGCATACCTTGATAACTTCATGGAAATCTTCCAGTGAGTTTATTCGCCTAGAGCATATTAATTAATCTCATACAATACAGGTGGCTGGATTTGAGCGCAGAAAATTGAATTTACCTGAAAACTGAAATTTTCAACAAGTAATCAACTGATCTCTTTTGCAGTTTGAAATAGCTGGTTTCAAATCTTCATCACGTGCCATTCGAATCATTTCTTCTTTGCTATTTCCCCTTCGCCCAAACTCTTAGTCGTTATATTTGAAAAGGATCAATCTTTCGGTTGATTATCCAGTGAATGTAAGATTTTAGATGTATCATGAGTCTAATGTTCCATAGCAGATTCTATTATGATTTTTCTTGAGGAGTGCTCCCATTACGCGACGGTATGTTGTCGTTAGCTAGAGTATTTCATGAGGTAAAGGAATGTCACGTGAGACACAGCGTTACGTTCTTTGTCCTATCGTCATTTGCGGCACATTGGCCGAGGAATGGTGCGTTCAAGAGGTTTAGGATGACAAGGGGGGTCGGGAGGATGGGGTGGTGAAATTGAATTTTAAATAAAAGTCACGGAAACGCGAGGAGGTTTTTTTCTCTCGGAGGATTACTTTATTTCCTCTGGAAAATCTCTCGGCTTATAAAACACAAAATGAATTACACAAGGATTAAATAGGCGGTTTGCTTTTCGACGAAACATGCTGAATTTGATAGATTTTCTCGAAAAAGCTTGTAGAGGGTGTTTCCCTTTGTTTTCGTTCCAAACTCCCGTGATCTTTGGCCCAGTTACAATACCACCCAAAATAAAAATAAAAAAATGAAAAAAAACTTCAGCATATATATGCTTACACTCTTGGTTTACTTCCAACGCGGAGATGGTGACCGCACGCAGTTCTTTTACTGCTTCACGGTAACTGCAGACAGCCAGAAGGTAAGGAATACATTACTATTAATAGCTGTCAGGTCACTAAAAGTATTGTTTGATCCACACTCAATCGCTAAGATTAAAACCACGATATCTGAAGAGCCAATATTGATGCATCTTGTTTTGGTTAAGCAATAGCCATGTAGTGTATGTTCATACACTTACTTTCGTGCAGGAGGAAGCTTTTTCCTTCTCTTATTCCATTTCGGTGACATTTCACTGAGTTGATTGAACACTAGACTTTCGATTTCATTGAGACGTGTCGTCTTGAGTAAACAGGAATCTAAGTGAAGTTTCGATCACGTTTGTATTAATATAAAGCGCGCTTTCGACCATACCAAGGCCTTAGTCACCTCGTTATTCTTCGATATGCATTCCACGAGGGTCAACCTGGAAACTTTTTCCTCTTTTGTTTGTTGTATTTCACCATGTAGTTTACTTTTTTGTTTCTTTTTAGAATCTAAATTGAAGGTTTCCTATAGTTTTTTAACGATATTGGACGATTGCATAAGTATTAGAAAGCGTGACTTGGCAATCTTTCTACTTTAAGAAACTAACGTTTAAAACCAACACCCCATTGAGTTATTTAGTTTGCAGGGTGAAGATTACTAAGATTTCTACAAAGCGTTTCGTGAAAAATTGGATGGCCTGCGTTTTTGTTCAAGATATTAGTATACATATTTAGATAACCGAGTTTTACAAGTATTGTTTTCAGTGGACTTGTTTCGACTCTTGAAGATTTGGTTTTCGATTTTCGATTCCTGATGACGTAAAATCTAATAGTGGTAATGGGAAAATTAATTGTCAAGTCGTGACCTAATCACGCTGTCTTTTCCATAAGGCGTTTTTCACAGCGTTGCCTGTGCTGGCATGGAAATTACCAGGTTAATCAGATGGAAGAAAACTTTTGAACAGAATAGTAGATTTATGTTTGGGAAACCGAAAATCGTCAATGAGGAAGTGAAACTCATCAGAGGTACTTTCCCGAGGAAGGGAATTTATAACCAACATATACGACAGTCACACAATCGAATGCATTAGATCAGCAATATCGAAACTGAAAAATCACCGAAGTTCGAAACACCCTTGATGATGTAAGCGCCGGGCTGAGTTCCAAATGCTATGATGTCGAGTTTCAGGAGTATTACATCTTAGAATTGTCGACCAAACGCGGAGTCGGAAAATTTACCATCACTCGAATTTATACGCAGGTAAGCTTCGATGTAAATTATTTCGGCGCTGTCTTCTGATCTTAAAAACGACGCGGTTTGGTTGAAGGGGGTTTTCTATGATTAACTTCCTTTTCTGGGGCCGAAGTTTCGATTTCCACCGAGGGGATGAATGTTCTGAATGATTCTGATACAAACCTGCAACTAAACTGAAACAGTGTGTCCAAGAAAATGCCGCTAAACAAACGAATAACTGTATAACGTGGCAGAAATACTATAAATATTCCACTGGTATTTTTTTTGTGTTACATGCGATATTGAATCTTGGCGGAAGTGATGTACTCAGTGTCAGCTAAACGCAAAGAGAGACAACAACAGTTTTTTTTTCTGTCCCTTTTACAAATGGTTTTGTTTTTTGTTTTTCGTTTAAATTGTATTTCTAGTTTAATGCAATTTTTTCTGACGTAGTTTCAATGAAGTCAGAAAGTTATCGTAATTTAAATACCGTTTGTTGTCAAACCTAACATGCAAATATGTCTTGCAGAATTTACATGCCACGCGTCACAGACCTTTGCAAAATATTTACTTTCTCCATCAGGACGATTTATATTTATAATTTCGGGTAAATTTGTGTCACCTTTAACTCAAGAAAGTTGTTTAACATCGTTAGTATGTAAAACTGAAATCAAAGCCGCCCTAACCTGGTGAGCAACTTTTCACAAGTTTACTTTGGAGATACAACGTAGAAAAATATAGCGAGTGCTTCATAGACAAGTTTCCTCGTCAGGGAGAAACTGAACTGTTCATTGCTTTTTGAACAAGGTGACTTAACGCTGAAAAACCTTTCAAGGACGAAATTTTAGGTGAAGTGGATAACATGACCAAATTGCTGAATTCAGTCATCACCGATTAGCTTTCCAGTGTAATTGAGCCTGAATGCGGTTAAACTGTGCAGGATTCGTATCGCTATTAATGATTTCTGTGAAGCCGTAATGTATGTAGGGACCTTAGGCAGTCAGGACAGCAACGCCGATAAAGTCTTCGACTAGGAAATGAATTTATATTTTTAGTAAGAGTTTCACAAATGGCTGGATGTGTTTCACTTCTCTTAGGCGGCGCCACAGCTCAACTTCAGCATAACGTTTGTTAGCAGCAGTAAGATCCAAATGGAAACTTAAACAATTTTCCGCCGGGTTTTCGTTCTCAAACCACGTAAACTTCGGTGATTTCACGTTGTTGTTTTGCAGAGGACGACTTAAAAATGTACTTAGTTTTAAAAAGCACGTGCTAAGCTATTGTTTTGCTTATTAGCTCTTTTGTTTTGCCACGTCCTTCTTGCCGTCGCTTAAGGTCCTTTGTATCAGCTCAAATAGATAGCGGACGTTCCCGTGTTTTCGTTGCAACAAGAAAAAAAGGTCTAATGTGGAGACTCGGGAACAGCTATAGAGACTACAATACTGAAGTTATAGAAAAGATTTCTTTACGGGTACAATCTTAAATTTCTATCGGACAGAGGAGTTGTTCCGACTTAGGAACGTGGTTAAACTTAGTGGTTTGCGTTATTTCAATACTGAATCGAGGAGAGTCATTTTCAAATTGACTGAATCATCGCTGGCTGTTGCACGTAGCTTCTTTTTAATCTTTTTATCTGTTATAACTCGTGATTAATTTGACATTTTTCCCGGGTTTTCCCTTCGCACGATTCACTGAGTGAATGGCATGGTTTTCTATATTTAATTTGATGGAATATCGGCGGGCCGCTCTTGGCCTAAGGACAGAAAACTCCTTGGCTAGTATAGTTGGTTCTTCATGGATTTATTTAGTTTGATTTTCATTAACTAAAAAGCAACTGCTACGATATCATATACTAAGACAACCATACTCGAAAATTTGTTGTATATACAACTAAATGTTGTCTTTTTTAGTTCAAGGCCTGAATAAATGCTTTATATACTATGTGGTCACAAGGTTCTTGAATATCTTCCTCTCAAATAGCCTGTAACCCTTTCCATCTTACCTTTCGCTTTCATATTCTCTGCACTGTATCTTTATATTCCCTTTGATACCGATAAGGATAATTAGGATTATTTGTTTAACCGTTAAGAGCTTCCTAAATTGGTGATAATTTTCGTTATTCTCATGAACTTTACATTTCCTGAGAGGGAATTAATGTAAGGAGAAATTAAAAGCCCATCACTCTTAACGGTCAAAGGTATAAAGAGTTAAAATCATTTTCTTTGCATGAACCACAAAAATTACTATCTGGCTATTTACATGTTTTTTTGTTTACACGTATCATGTGTTTTTTTCTTATTAGCGTGGAAAAGTATGTCGAACTCATCCAATCAGCCCGCGTATCAACGTTTTGATACAGCAGAGATTCTGGCAGAATTCCTGGGTAAGATACTACAGAGATGTTAGTCAGTCTTTTGATCCCAGAATAACGATTTTATTTTACACAATAAAACCGTTATTGCAGTTCAGAGGCTGAGAAAAGGACAATATAAAGGGGAACATGGGTGCTTTTATCTCTTTTAGCTAATCGTATTTCCGTACTTATTTCCAAGCCAACTCCATCCCTCTGACATTTTTTTTCCTTGCCAATTGTGCGATATACCTCATGTAGAGGATTATTTAGCCCTCTACAGAGATTCTGATGGTCGTCAAGCTGCATAATCGAGTTTATTCGCTATGCCATGTGAGGCTGTAGCTTGAAATCTTCATTTCAAAACTGGGACTATTCCTTCGAGAAGATGAAAAACGACGGCTGAAGTAAATATGTTAATTACATCATAATTTGTGTTTCAAGCCTTTAACCAACAAAACTGGACAGTGTTTCATTTAGCTGTTTCGTTTTGCTCTCTTGCATTCAGCATTGAACCAGGCACTTTTTCCTATGGAGTTCAGGTATAGGGCCCGAGTCTAGTTTCACGAAAGCGAGGCTAGTTAGGCCGTTGACCAATGAAAGCTCAAGGCTTTACTACACGTGACGTGATTGGCTGCTGCGACTGACGTGATAGCACTGTTTCTTCGAACTATGACAATACTAAAATATGATTAATTCAATGATGTCTTCCATAGTTTTTGTAGCGGTTCGAAAGTCGACAGTAAACATCTTAAAGCTTTCTATTCGTGACTTGTATTATTATTCGGTTTGACATTTACACCCAAATATCCGTCACTGGATTTCAAACTCTGGATCATTAGTTTAGCTTTGGATTTAAAGGGTGTAGAACGGAAAACAATGAAAAACCTCTGCATGGCTTTAGGTCAGTGGAGGAAATTGGCTGAAAGGTGCCATTTTTTGCTCACCCTGCTTTCTTGTCCTTTCCGTTAATAGCCGGAGAGTCTGGTACAAAACGAAGGCTGGTTAAAGAAGAAGGCTGAAAATTAGTGTAAAGTCAATATTAATGCTCGATTCGAAGTGAGCTACCGATAAAGTCAACTATGAGACATAGATATGTAACCATATTTTTTGGAACAGATAGGAATAATATATTATTTGTACGGATGTAAAAGTATGAGGGGAATTTATTCTTAACTATTGTTGATTATTTTTACCAACTGTCCATGATATCTTTTTTTTATTCTCATTTTAGACTCTCCTTCGGATCATCATAACTTGGTTACTACGGACTCTAGCCCTGTTGTATCGCCCAACTTTCTATCACAGCTAGTAATGCATAATGAACCACAATACCTCAACCCCCTTCAGCCTGGTTGCCCCTCACCGCCAGACAGCGAAAGAACAAACACACCTTCTCCCTTTGCAACTCACACCGTTCAAACACACAATACCCTCCCAGATGGGAACTTCGTTTGCGAACCCCTTATTCCGAGTGCTGGACCGTCCGGTGCGGATTTACGAGCGCCTTGTCAGTACCAGACTTTCAGCCTTCCGCGTGATCGTGTAGGAGGAACCAATTTTGTCCGATACTCAGATAGAAGAGTTCAGGTGACCCATGCCCATTGCAATGAAGCGAATATCAAGATCCTTAATCCGCGGGCAGAATACGACAAAGTGCAGAGAAAGCACGGACATAGAGGGAAATTTTCAGAGCAAAGAGTAGCAAAAGGAAAGGTAGGGCTGAAGCCTTTTCTCGCGACAGTGCAAACCTGAGATTTGTTTTTTGATCGATCAAAAACTACAATCTGATTGGGTATGCTACTCGCTATCTATTACGTGGTAGATAGTGGGTAAATTAAGTGAGTAGAATAACGGTGTGCGGTTATAGACAAAATTAAAATAAAACCACGGCCCTGTCTCCTTGTTAAGTTTTAAACAAACAGCAGACTTGAATACTATAACAAGTACTTTTTTCTGGTGATTTCTATTTTTTTTTCAGGCTTCGTCCTCGTTAGCTATTTAGCAATAGAAATCTCGAGTTGATGAGTTAATTGTTTTGAAAATATGCAGTGGTAAAAATTGTTGCCAAGCACTGTTTCAATTTTTTTGATAACAAGCTTGACAATTCTGGCTCAATGTGGCTCTCAATAAGTTCTTTTTAGGGTTCATTTTTGGCTGATTTCAGGTTGAGATGGAAATAGACACACAGCTGCCTCTTCGTCAACTAGAAGTTTATGTGTTGCGTGATTTTGAAGCTGAAAAGAAGCTCTACAGTAAAGACCCAAAAGCATACGGAGTAGGAGAGATACGATTTCCTGAGAAGGATGTCCAAGAAATGAATACTCTTGGTACGTACAGATCAGTAACTACCGCGCCAAATGCTTTGCAAATACAGGGGCGAAATTTATTGAGATCCTTGATTGCTTATTTCGGTCAAAAATCGACTGAGTTAGAGTACTCAATTCTCCATCGATGAATTATCCCAAAAGTTACTCTTTCCCTGATCTCTCGGGTGAAACTCGCACATTGCCTCTTGGATGAAGAATGAACAAAAATCTCATGGGTAATCTGCAGTAGTAAATTTGTAGCATAGCATTGGATATTTTCAAGGAGATCCCTCAGGTATTTGGAAATATTGTTAATCAAAGTTATCTAAAATGACTGAATATGGTTTATCTTAAGAATGAGGAGTCTACGGGGGATTCAGGCGTAGTGCTGTACCTTGTTTTCTCGCATTCTGTATGGATCCACTTTTGGTTCTACTTTTGCTTCCGATTGGTTGAGTGGGTTAAGCAAGGGTCCTTAACTGATCAATGATAGTTGAAAAGCAAAACCAATGCGATCTCGCATTATATGAAAATTACTGTACTGGTGGTGGTGAAAAGGCTTCAATATGTAAATCTTAAAACATTTTCTCTCAGGTCAAAACTCCAAGTACGTTTGCAAAATCGACCTTGACTCCGTGTACAAAACAGAGGATGGTAGGGAGATTTACCGACTGGAAAAGACGAGAGGCTTAGAATTCAACCGATTCTTTCTAAAAGTCTTCCTCGAGTTAAACAATGGACAGAAGTTGGTCCTTTTCCCTTATGAGTTTGTACTAAAGAGCAGCAAGACCGTGAAAGGTAAGCACATGGATCCCCTAAGATTTCTTACAGCACCATACGCAGCATTAGTGTAAGCATCAAATAATATCTATTTACCTCTTGGAAATGTAGGAGGTAAATGTTAATAGTGATGATAATCGTAAGATCGTGATGTTTCCTCAGTCAGTGATGCAGTCATACTTAGAATAATGAAATTCGCGATACTTCCAACTGAAGTCAAATTTGAGACCACCTGATTCCAAGTAATTCTTTTACTTTAGAGCGCTTTTCGATTAAGTGCCGTAAAATTAAGAGCAAAGAAATCACAGCAGCAAATCAGAGCAAATTAAGGAAGAAGTTACCAGAGCCTTCGAGAACTAAACATGAAGAAAAAACAGCGCGGAAAACGCGAGTTGTTGAGACGCCGTTGGTTCTAGTTTTGCATTTGATTGGTTGAGAAAATGGCGCAAATTTTCTGGACCAATCACAAAGAGAAGTACAACAAAACGTATGCAATCCTGACTTTTTTTTGACACTCAATTGATTTAGCATTGGGTTGCGGGAAACTCCCGACAGCTTGGCGTGTAAACTTGGTTTTCGCCACAAACATTTCGCACGTATACCAACCATTCTGTCATGACTTGAATGTAGACGTGATGCTTTTATATCAGTGATGCAATTGAAGATGATGCCTTTTGTTAAGCTTACTGTTCAGATGAAAGTTTTGATAGTGTGGGTTCACTCAATCGAACTTCCAAGGTTCTTGAAGTGAAAATTACCTTTGGTAGTAACTGATGTTGAAAAAAAACATCATTTTGCAATAGTTATTTCTTTCTTTGTGTGATAAAAGTTAAATTTGATGGTAAAAGTGGGGTATTCGAATATTAAAGTGATGCGAGGGAGTTTTAGAATTCCTGAAGAGTATCCCTTAAAAGTATCAGTGTTTATGTATGCATCCTAGGAAAAGATGTATATTACCAACGGGTGTTACCCAATGCGTTGAAAATTTTGGATTGCGGTAACAACTGTTTCGTTGCTCACTCTTGTGTTACTGTAGACACCACAAATGATACCAAAACCCTCATTTAAGCCCTTTGAAGATACGCTGATCACCTCTCCCGCGTTTAAAGTAGTTTTAATTCAATTCTATTTCAAAAGTTCCGAGGGAACCTCAAAATGTCCTCTCACCTCAAACAGCTTGCTCTTTAACCTCTCCTCGTCAAGGTCCTCCAGGTAAGAATGACCTAATTGTTAACGATTTTACGTCTCTAGTTACCTATAAGCTTAAAACATTTGATCATTATATCGGGGATATCTCGACGTATGGATAGTGAGGAGACGAGTACGAAAATCTTGAGCGAGAGCCATTTTCCGATATGATCTTTTCGTTAGAGGTGATGGCTCGAGAAAGATCGTGGAGTTATGTTTGAACTTAGGAATACTATTTCGTTTTAGAAATTTTTCCTGTAGTCACTAGAGTACTGAGGAGCATTTCATCGCCTGATGTGAGTCCTAACGTTTAACTTGGTCATTCATCACAGCTTTTTGGCCAGGAGTGTGATAACCTGAGCTTTAGAGCTGGGGCATACTGAAGTTTCTTATTGATCTTACTCTTAGCCTCCAGATGAACTAGTGTCTTGAGACGTATTCGGAGAAAGCGAGACACCAAAAGGCGATCGGAGTCAGTTTTGCATTTGATTGGTCTAATATGAAACATGCGGTTTCAAAAGAGTTACTTTCGACGCTCCTTTGAGACGAGTAGTTTTTCCAAAGCTTAAGCTGAAGAACTGACCTTTTCCACCGTTCATTGAATCAAAATTACTTTGTGATTTATTTTCACGATTCCTACAGATAGCCGGTATGAAAGCTTTATATGCCAACAAATCGAAGCGGATATAGCTAAGATAAAAGACCTCGAAGTTGAACAGATAAAAACAGCGAACCACGACATCGCTTACTACGTCAAACGGCAGAATGAAAGTCAATTTGAGGAAGGTGACGTGGTGGGATTCTTTGAAAGAAAAACAGGAGGCACTGTTATCGATTTCTTGACCAGTGATAATGCTCATGAAGCCCGGCTGGCTGGTGTAATAAGTAGGTCAGCGTACCTAGTCGGGAACACAGGGCAATATGACGAAGAAGAAGATGGTAAGTAACGGTTGTTGCATGTCGTGCAAACATAATCGATAGTTCGAATTTATAAAAAGGATCGGGTAAGCATCAGTGATTGTTCTCTATATACTTAAAGTAACTACGAAACCCAACATTTTAGCAACGAAAGTCGCTTTTATGGATGTACAAGACTATGAAGGCTTAAATTCCATGGCCTTTTCTAGTCGCCTGTTTTTGTTCTTGGGATCGTGCTATACGTATGTTTTAAAAGGGTTGTTTTACCTTGTCTTTTTATTTTTAATTTAAACCTAGATATTTGTGATATTTTTCTTTGGCCATGTGAACGTAAGGGTGGGGGGGAAGGGACGGTCTAAGATCCCCCTGGAACCCATTTGATTTCCCAAACCCCCCCTCCAGCCGATGAATAACAACCGGTCCCTAACTCTGTATCTTTGTAACACTCAGATGCTGATCTTGTGTGCATCATCGGACAGATTAAAGTGAAAGTCATTGGCGAAGTGACACCTGGACAACTGGTTTACGCTTGCCCCAGTAATAAGTTCCCAGGGGTGGCAATTGCCACACCAGAACAAGGTAAAAACAAATTGATATAATTAACACAGAGATATAGTTGGGTTTGTCTGTACAGTTACAGGTTCTATCAGCTCAGTGCCACTTGAAAAACCAACAACATCGTATTTTATCTCTGTGTGAGGGTATAGACAATGGAGATTACCCCGCCACCTTTTGGAGAGCTATCTAGACAGTGAAGAGGAATTTGAATCCGAGAAAAAAATTTTGGAGAAGAATTTATATTAATTCCTTCACCACATTCATAGTTATGCCTGGTTCATACACCATCATAAATTACATTTTTGTATCACTTTTTCTTGATTCAAAGAAAACTGTGCAATTGGCTACCGCCTAGCTACAATTTTAATCGCACAATTTATAATTCTGGAAGGTGCTCCGGCGAACTTTTTAACAAAAAGATTCCATATTGCTGCGAGTCTGTTGAGCAATAGATCAAAGATGGTGTCTAAATGTTGTAAGAACCAAAAGGTGGCACACAGGACACAGCTGGGTGTGTCACTGATGTTCTTTCCACATAATGACGTTTTCTGTGGTCTGTTACTGAACAAACCCACGTTAATATCGAATCTCTTTGTTTTAAATACTAACGGAGCAAAAAGTAGTTTATGGTGACGTCATCTATGACGTTGTCCTCCAATAGATCATGGGTAAGAACCAATCAAAATGCGTGAATGATTGACCTTATTATATAATTCGTATTACATAGGTCAAAGTCTTCACTGGTTTTTTTTTTATCTTCTTTGATACAATACCAACCAAACTAAGGATGTAATTATGAAACGAACGTTAATTCGTTTAATTTGTCTCACGATGAAAGAGTCAGGCTAATCAATCGTGTATTGATCGTAATTGATACACGATTAAAGAGGTCAAGATTAACCAGCCTGACCTTACATCGTGAGACAAACTATTGAACGTTCATTGATCTTGAAATTACGATGAACGACAACCTTTTTTGATGTAACATCTCTTTGATTCCCTTTTTTTCATTTAGGAGACGATCGACGAACCTTGATCGGCTATGCTATGGGTGGATCGTCTGGTCCTGGGGTTTCCAAGGTGGACTGCATTGTGTCTTTAGTACTGAGCATCGGTGCGCAGGAGCAGTTACGAGCGTTGGATCAAATGAGACTAAGTATCGAGGAAGTGAGGGAAAACCTGTACACTAGTATAGATACGGTTGGTTTTAGAATTGCAAGAATGCAAAGAGGCTGGAGAGGTAAGAGGTGTAGAAGAGATAGAGTGAAATAAACGATCCAGGGCTCCTTATGTCACCATTAAAATTATTTTTCAGAGACAACTACTTTGATAAGTTTAGGATGAATTCTAGAACGTCGCCAACGCCTGCACTTGTTTTCTTTAACGGTGTTCTTCGCTTTTTTTTTCTCTTTGATTGACGCCAATTGCAAATGACATACTTACGAAATTTGGGCTGAATTTTCAAGATGCACAATTTCTCGTGTAGTTCATTCCTAAAACAGTCAACTAAGGGTGGTGTTATAAGATGACATGTAACAATGTCCTGTGACCTCTTTCTGGGGACACGCAAAAATGTTTGGGAATGCTGTTAAATTAGGTATCCAAGGGTATATTATAGTTAAACAGTGACGAAATTCCACTGAACACGACTTCAGCTGACGTGAAGTCTGAGATGTCTGGAACTTTTGATAACAGGACACCACTTGTTCAACATCGCAGTACAAACCTAATTATACTTAAAGATGATTGGATTCGATTTTTCCATGATAGCATCTCATGGTGAGGTCCCTTCTAGTCTCTGAAAAGACTCTCCTCTCTTGTTTTAAAACTACTGCCACTACAGATGACGTTTCTACCACATGGCAGGGAACTATCTTAGTATATAGATATTAACCCTTTAACTCTCAGAGGTGATTAACTTATAACTTCTCCCTATAATATCCATACATTATCCAGCGAACTGGTCGTGAGAATACTCAGGCTTATCAGGTACGAGATATTATAATGATCCAACGCCGAATTCTTGTAACAAATTTACAACGAAATGTGTAGCAGCCAGAGGGGAGAATTGACAATCCAATTTTGGGAGTTAAAGGGTTAACAAAATATCTGAATGAGTGCGAGAAAGAAGTAGTTGTACGCTTGGCACCATTCAGAGTTCGGACAATGACACCAATGCATAATGTTGTATTTTTTCATTTTTTAGGGTTGTGGAAAAAACTGCTTGCAGTAACTGTATTCCTGGCAATCGCATCTGCCGTTTGTGCCCTGATGTTAGCTCCAAGTTCTCCATACGTCAAAGCCAAGTGCAGAGCTAATAGTATTAAAGGCCACTCGCTCACCTTTAAATTCTATCCTAAGGATTCGGACGTAAGAATTCTTTTTCTATTAGAGCGCTTTCCGATTTAGTGTCGCAGAATTAAAACGAAAGTGACCATAACAGCCAATCAGAGCGAAAGAAAATATTATAGGGAACCAATCAGAATGAAAGTAAAAACAAGCTAAATGCCTAAAGCGCGGGGAAACGCGGTTTACTTCGCCGTGCGACTGGTCGTAAAAACTCGCATTTCCCTATTAGCGCCTCTTATCAAATAAAATGATTACTCGTGTTTTCCCGCGTTGCAAGAAGTTTGCTCGTTTTTACTTTGAGATCTCAGTGGTTCCTTATGGCATTTTCCTTACACTGAATGTGTTTGGCCATTTTGGACCCTTTTTTGTGGCCTTTTCGAAGCTCAATCGAAATTCGCTCTGGAAAGAATTTATAATAATTGACTTAAATGAAAAATATTCCAAAATCACAAAGCTGGGTTGTCACGCGAGCTCGTTTGTCCTCGATTTTCGCAGGATCTTAAATCACGAAGCTAACAAACACAATGATTTCAGTTGTTTCTCTAAATCTGACTTTTCTCTGTTTTGTTTCCAAGGACGAAGTTATTGTGAAAGGGTTGGAGTTTACATGGGAAAAGCTGAAAAAGAAATTAAGCCTGAGATTCGACAAAAAAAATGGAACAGGTAGGTATTTAAACATTTGATCTGCTCTTTTACTTTTCCCTCCGATTTACAGGATTGACCAGAATGTTATTTCCTCTACCAATTTTAACACCCTGTTAAGCAAGCAGGTAAAGAGAATTATTAAACAGACCGTGCGGAAAGCTCCCTAATCCTGTGCTCAAGCCAACACTCGAATGTTGTGTTTATGTCTGGTTATTGAGCAAAAAGTTGGGTGAAACACGCTTAAACGTTGCAAAAAAATAAAAAATGGCTTAAGAGGAATAGATGAACGAAAAGGAAATTGGAGTTCCCTACTGAGCAATAATGGACCCTAACACTGTTTAGTTGTTGTTGTTTT